AAATTGGAGGTCACCTACGAAGGAACCGCGCAGGTTCGGGAGGCCAAAATCGACCATCTCACTCACGAGTATGAACTCTTTTCAATGAAGGAAAATGAGAAGATTGAGGAAATGTTTGAGAGATTCTCTAACATCATCAATCCTCTCAATCTTCTCGGGAAGACATACACCGACCGAGAGCTCGTGAGAAAGGTGCTGCGAAGCCTATCCCTCAAATGGCGTTCAAAGGTGGACGCAATCGAAGAAGGTCGTGACTTCCAAACAACAACCTATGATGCTCTTCGAGGTAATCTTATTACCTACGAAACCACCCAACTCTCAAAGGTGGTTGAAGAGAGGAACAAGAGGTCCATTGCTCTACCCGCAACAACATCAACCCACAACAACGTTGATGATGAAGATGATGACAGCGACGACACCGACCTCGGACTCTTTGTCCGAAAATTCAAGAAGATGTTGCTCAAGAAGGGAGCCAAGAAGAACACTCCACCCAAATGCTATGAGTGTGGTGAAATTGGACACATTAAACCAATGTGCCCAAAGCTCAAGAACGAGAAGGACAAGAGGGCACCGAAGAAGCAATGTGCCTACATTTCTTGGGAGAACGATGGCTCCGGGAGTGAAGACTCGGAAACGGAGGAAGTGGCCAACTTGTGTCTCATGGCCATTGAAGATGGTGATACATCAAAAGAGGTAAGTGATCAAGAACCTTCTCCCAATAATCCTTTAACTCTTAATGATGTTGTTTGCATTGTAGAAGATTTGGTAAGAATGTTCAAAAAGGCTTCCAAAGAAAACAATGAAATAAAGCAAAAAATCCTGATTTTTGAGAATGAAATCAAAGAACTCAAGAATATAAATGATAAACTCAAACAAGAAATCATCTCTTTTGGAAAAAAGGCCACAAGAACCTTCAACTACTTCTTCTTCTACATGCTCTAGTTGTACATCACTAAAAGCTAAGGTTGCTAGTTTAGAGAGCAAATTGGGAAAGTTCAATAATGCTTCAAACACCTTAGATAAAATACTTAAACAAAAATTTAGTAATGGTGAAAGACTTGGATATAAGAAAAACCAACCTAGAAAAACAACATTTGTTAAAGCTAGGGGGAATAAAAATGCTAGGATAAATAATCAAACTAGAAGAGCACATCCTAGCAAACCTAGAACTCATTACACTCAACCATATAGAATGAATAATCCAAATGTTATTTTCCACTATTGCAATAAGATAGGTCACATTGCACCCGTGTGCTTCACCAAAATTAGGCATTTTCAACAAACGCACACACATCGCACATATGCTAACCAAAAAAGGACCCAACAATACATGGGTACCTAAACCGTCTCCTTGATATCTTTTTGTAGGTGTGCTTGAAGGCTTCGAGTACCTCTTGGTATCTCGATAGTGGATGCTCCAAGCACATGACCGGAGACGCATCCAAATTTAGGAGTTTAGAGTATTTCAAAGGTGGCAATGTTGTTTTCGGTGACAACAACAAAGGAAGAATCATTGGAAGTGGCACCGTCGGAAAGGACAATGCTACAACCGTTGAGAACGTTCTTCTTGTTGAGGGCCTCAAGCACAATCTTCTTAGCATTAGCCAATTGTGCGATAGAGGTAACCGTGTCATCTTTGATTCTAAAAAATGCATTGTAGAACGCTTGTGTGACAATAAGACTATTCTTTGTGGTAGTAGAGTAGATAACATTTACATGTTTGATCTTGAAAATTCCCCATCTACTTTAGCTAAGTGCCTCATTACCAAAGAGGAAGAAACGTGGCTATGGCATCGTCGGATAGCTCACGTTAATATGGACCATCTTAATAAGTTGGTTTCTAAAGACTTAGTAATTGGTGTTCCTAAACTTAAGTTTGAGAAGAATCTAATTTGTGATGCATGTCAAAAGGGGAAGCAAGTAAGGGCCTCTTTTAAGTCAAAGAACATTGTTTCTACGACTAGGCCATTACAACTTTTGCACATGGACCTTTTTGGACCTTCAAGAACTATGAGTTTAGGAGGTAATTACTTTGGCTTTGTTATCGTTGATGACTATTCGAGGTTTACATGGAAATTACTCTTGCTCATAAGTATGATGCACTTAATGCTTTTAAGAAATTCATTAAATTGGTTCAAAATGAAAAAGACTCTCACATTGCATCCATTACAAGTGATCATGGGGGAGAATTCGATCAAGATGGCTTTGACGCCTTATGTGACGAATTAGGCATTGAGCATAACTTCTCGGCCCCCAGTACACCACAACAAAATGGCATGGTTGAACGGAAAAATAGGTCTCTTGAAGAGATGGCTAGAACTATGCTCAATGAGGCTAAACTTCCTAAATATTTTTGGGCAGATGCCTTGAGTACCGCGTGCTACGTGTTAAACCGAGCCGTCATTAGACCGATACTCAAGAAAACGCCCTATGAACTTTACAAAGGAAGAAAGCCTAACCTTTCCTATTTTCATGTCTTTGGATGTAAAGTTTTCATTCATAATAATGGAAAAGATAACTTGGGAAAATTTGATGCTAAGTCGGATGAAGGAATTTTCTTAGGTTATTCTCTTCGTAGTAAGGCATATAGAGTGTTCAACAAGCGTACTAAGAC